TTAACATTTGTAAAATTAAACATAGCTAAAATGGATAACATTAATAACAGTTAAAAACATATACAAAACATAGCAAAATTACTCGTAAAACACTGTATCGTGAAGCACTGCATTCTATCAAATTTTGTTCTAAAATATATGTTAAAATTTAATACCAGCTCCTTTCTTTGTAGTGGGTAGCTGTCAGTTACTTGTTACTATGGTAACCACCAACTGACAAGTGCAACATAACTGAACTTTAAACACCAATAATGTCTGAAGAAACAACTTGTTGATTAAACAGAATAAATTTATTTTAAGCTTGATCCCAATTTTCCTTTAAGAACTGCAATAAAATACATAGCAACAGCTGTTTGTTTTATTAGCCTCTCTGCTGCAAGTTATCATTAATTATTTTTTAGTAGATATAATGGCCAACGCACAGCAGTCACTGTAAAACATTTTTATTTTAAAATAAGGATAAATGATTTGATGATGACATCTNAAATTGTTATTATCTAATATTGATGATTAGCACAGCTGGCATTACTAAAATAAATCTTCCAGTTTGTTGGAGAAGAGACACATGAAGTAGATCCTTACTTTAACTCTGAATTTGAAAAGCTCCAATATCTGAAACAGAGCAGCTCTACTGTTCTTGGTAAAACCTTTCTTGCATACTGAAGGTCTTGCTCTTTCTCGCTGTCCTTCAGCCTGAAATATTAGCAATCTGATGCTGAATATGGCTAACTTCAAGCCTTTTCAATAAGTAACATCAACACCAAACATGGTGTTATGAGCACGGCTTGTTAGAATATTTGTTTAGCATGTTCACTGATCTGAAATAATATTTGCTGTTAAGTTTCTTACCAGCAACTGATGGATCAAAGAGTTCAAGTTAAACATCAACTGCTTCCACATCCGATTATCAATGTTTTGCTAAAATAAATTGGGGTCCAATAATTCATTTTTGGACCCTGATTTAGAGAAACATCAGTGGTAGTTGGTGCATGTAGCTCTTGTTTACTGTATCCTTTTAGTAGTGAAGCACTAGATTTAATTTATCTGTTTTTCTGAGGGCATGTGTTTATAAAACTGCTAAAAAAAATTCACATTTCTTATTTTATTTGGTCAAAGTAAAAAAAAAAAAAGAAGCATTTCAATAAATATTCAGAGGTAAATTTTAGCATGCTTTTAAACATCCTTCAAAGTGATTAACATAATGACTTTTTCACTCCAGTCCCACATAAAATTTAACGCTAAATGTTTGTATTTTATTTTAACATGGAAATGATGTTTCTGTTCCTGAATGTTAATCCTCCCTTCCTGATTTTTCCCTCCAATGTTGTTTTGTCCTTCCTTTCTCTGTAGCTGGTGCTGTTTGCAGGAAAGCTCAACACCATCGCCAGCATTGTGACCATTTTCTTCCTACTGGTGTATGCCGCCGTGGACTTGGCTTGTCTCGCCCTGGAATGGGCTTCTGCACCTAATTTCAGGTACCCATACATAACAGGCACACACCCCAATTTGTTTTTTTTTTTTTTTCTTATTCTGACATTTTATTTTATCTGTGTGTGGGAGAGGTTGTTTGCTTGCTGGATGCTGCTACAGTGATGGTATACTAATTAAAAAACATAAAACTGACCAGTGCTTACAGCCCAATGGAGAATAGGGACTAACAATAAACCGACTGAGGGTGAGGCCTGAGCTAGATGTGGGGGTAATGACGCGTGGCGATGCTCAGAGATTAAGCTTTACAGTCTTTGTGTGTACAAGTGAATTCGTATTCCTTGGTCACTTGCAGTGATCCTGATTTATAAGAGCTCGCTGATAATATTCTCTTGCATCGCTCAGATTACCTGTGGACATGGTGGAGGTTTATGTGACTGGATGATATTACGGCACAGCCAGAGTTTGGAATTTGATTCACTACACACCTTTTTATGAGTCATTTCACATCTCCCTGTCAGCTGCTGATGTTGTTGTGCAGAAAATATCCTCCTCAATTCAGTAAGCATAAGGTTTATCCAGAGGCGGCTTCTTCTTGCAGGAAATATTTAAACCACTTGAGTTTTATTTGCAATGGAGGAATGAAATAGTATAAACATCACATGTTGCTTTATTGTTCTGACAGATTGCATCCAGTGCTGGTTTAAGAGTTAGATATTCTTCTGCGGCAATACTCAGAAATGAGTTGCAGTGCATGTTAACGACACTTAAGCTTCTGTTATCGCAGACACATCAGCAGGCTGCAGCTCAAATGATCTTCTTGAAGTGGGGAGATGCTTAAAGGATCCTAAACAACACGAAGGTAGTACTTACTAAATACAAACATCTAGAATAGCAACAAGCTACATGAGTCATACTCAATAATAGTGATTATCAATTATTATTAATACCCGTGAAGAGATTTTCTGATCAAATTGTGACGATTCTTGACAGAAATAATAATTTACCCATATAGAAAACATTACAACAAACATTCATTGATTCTGTTTATGTATTTTCACATGTACTTTTTACTTACAACTTTAAAATGAGCATCTTATACTACAAAATGTTTCACACATGCTTAAATAAGCTTTTAATAAACTGAAAGAACTTACCATGTCAGTGAAAATTTTCAGATGACTCAGCTTCCAAGTGACGACTGTTAAGTTAAAAAATATGTGAGGTCAAGCATCTATTTAGTGTTATTTTATAAACTAATAGGTTTTATCCCAAAAATTACATAAAGCTTATTGATTCAATGTGCAGTAACATGTCACCACGTTTAGCTGATAGACCCTCCAACAGAGCCTTGATGTTATGATGTTATGATCTTCCCAACCAGAGGTATCATATGATCACAAATTGATTGGTCGTTAATTATTCAGTGGTATTGTGAACTTTTAGCACAATACTAATGTGCTAAAAGTATTATGGACCAACATGAACGCATGGTGTTCATGTTGGTCCATCTGGTCTGGAGCTCCATTTGTATCTTTACAGTTTTCAAGATGTTTATTTCTCTCATTATCTTCAGTTGCATCAACACCTTTTATGTTATCACCGTCTACAGAAGCTGTGTTCCCATTATAAATGCACAAAACTTTTTCAGGATTCTGCTAATGACAGAAAAAAAAACACAATTTCACAATTGTAGTTTTTCCATTAAATAAAAAAATGGAATTAAAATCCCACGTGAATAAGCTTGTTAAAATGATAAGTTATTAAAAATCATAGTGGCGAAGGATGTAAACACTTAAATCAGATATGTAAGATGTATGCTATCAGAGGAAATGTCGGTATCTTACTCAGACATTGATGTGGCAATATCCTTATACTTGGGAGTGACTACATATGCAGCTTTTTTGGGAAATTGTAGCTGCCAGTTTTACAAAAGAGTTATGAATACAGTACTTTTAAATAACAAGCTCAACTTTTTATGCTCTGAGACCTCTGGTGGAATTAGCTGTGCAATGTCCAAAGAGGCAAATGCCTACAAATAGGAGCTTTGCTGCTGTATGTAAATTAGCCTGATGCAAAAACGTAATTCTATTGCAATTTTGCAAGACACACAAATTTGGATTGAACTGAAAAACTGTCATTCTAGTGCAATGGGCGTGTTTAGTTAGTAAGCAAATTTATTTTTGTAACTCTAATTTTAGTCAATGGAAACTCGACTAGTGGAATAAAGCCAACTTCTACAACTGATGGATCCATCCTGCTGATTTTGTGACCTTTTGCTTTTTAATTATTTTCTTCTTTTTTTTTTTTAATTAACTTACCTGAAGGGAAAGACTCACCTGTAAGATGTTTCCAATGCCACCTCCTGGCTTAATTAACTTCTGAGAAAAAAGGATGCCAAATATACCCATTAACTAAGATAATATTTTTTGGATATGTTGTGTTTTTTTTTTCTAAAGTAAACATTGCCACTTGGCCAATATAAAGAAGCTCATCACTTTTGATTAGTTATTGCAATATTCCTTTCAGAAGTCTGGTCCAAAACTGCTACACAATTTCTCCTGCAGTGTCTATTTTCTTAAAAGCTATTAAAAAAAAAAAAACGATCTGTTTTGCTCTCAGCTTCCAGGGCAAATGCTAAATGAAATAACCAACTTCTGAAGATATATCTTTAAACCATGTTGAACATGAAAAATGAATAGATTTTTGTGTCTCTGCCTCCCACTGTGCTTTATTACTTGTGTGCCTGCATACTAAAGGTGGTCATATTTACATTGCACAACTGTAGGAGCATCCAGTGGTGTAATGCAGCAGAAGCAATTTTGTCTGGCTCTTTTGAATTATTTCATGATGAAATGGCAGTTCAGGTGCATTGTCAAAATTTTTTATTGGATTAGTGAAAGTACAGCCATGCCGGTTCTGCATGAATAAACTAGGCTGACAGTTCAGTAAATGCCTTATTCTGATGTATACCTCAAGCAGTGAAGCAGGGCTGGAGCATTGAATACGCACGAATGGCCTAATAACAATGGTTTCAGTCCTTACACTAACAAAATAACATGTCAGAATGACTGTCACTGAACAAAGAAATGACCTATAAATCTGGTCATATGTAATGGATGGTTCATGAGCCTAATTATTCTCATTGTCAGATTTCCACGTCTGGTAATATCAGCACAGGAGTCACTGGTCTGTCCTTTGAGGCTCATTATACATGGATTTTTGCTCATCATTGTCTAGGATTTAAACAGTTACCTCCCTTACTTTGCTCAAAAAGAATCCTATTCATCCACAGTCATGCTTTAGTCCCAATTGTAGAAGTTGTTTGTCACAAGTTTTTAAAAATCTTGGATACTTTGGTGTGTGCTGGTTGTAAAACAGTAGTGCAAACTGTGGATTTTATTTTGTTAATCTTTTTTTCTCTTTTAACAATGCTTTTCACAACAAAAGAGAGACTGTACTGATTGCTGTCATCATCTGTATCAAGTAATCTGTTCTGACTGCTGTACTTAGTATTTATTCATGAAATTTCCCATAGAAGCCAAATAATATTTTAATTGTTCATTTTTAAATGCGTTTGTGTTTATGACACTTTCTTTCTATCTTCCTTTATGTTCTAATAGAAAAATGTTTTCTTGTATGAATTATAAATTCCTACAACACTCCATAAACATCATGAATAATACAAAACTAAAAGGTCAAAAAAGTGTTTAAAAGAAGCGGCACTTGGAGGCCAGAATTGGGGCCACCAGAGGGGCCCCCCAAGTAAAATGTCTGGTCTGAATCTGTAAATGTAATGAAGAAAGGACATTTATTATTAACTATGATTTGTACAGTTAGTCAAGCTACACCCCTTATCTATGTATTCACATTTAATAATCTATTAAGAATTGATCGAATGTTGAGGAAGAATATTGTACACTTTATTTTGGAACAAAATCAGCGATCATTTTGAGGAGCATACTATTAAAAGTTACACTGCAAAAAGAGCAACAAGTAAATAAAAGCATTATTTATACTAGTCTGCTTTCTCTCTCAAGGTGACAACACTAGTGAGTTTGAGTTATTGGGGGCGAATGTTGCTGTGGTGTAAATCTATTTAAGTAGTCGGTATGACTTAAAAAGTACTATATATTCACTCAATTTGCCCTTTACTCTTTTTATATAGCTCTGCAGTTCAGTATTTAAGGTATTTTTAATGTGCATTCATCTTTTTTGCAAGTGAGTATACTGCTACTGGCTAAGTATTAGCTGTTAGCATCTGATTCTGAGTTTTCTATTGGTGCATGAATTTCAACTGCTTTTACTTCAACATTGCAGATTTTAAAATACAGTTTGAGATTTCTGCAACTTTTTGTTTCCTTTGTAAAGCCCAGAAGCGACATTTTCAATACTGTTCTGTCATTAGGACCTCCTCAGTATTAGTGCACAGTCGTGAAATGCGTTGTTTATTCTGTATTGAAGAGAAAACCTTCCCTGTTATCTACCCATCTTTATAAAAAACAAACACCCATGCATTTACACTTGAAATATTTGATTGGTTTTTCTGGGAAGTTCAAAGATTTTGCTTTTGTCTCCAAAGTTAGAGTAACTTCTGTTATCACAAACGATCAGAGCCAGACTGCCAGGAAATAATAATTTTCTCCAACAGAAGTTAGTATGAGTTTTCTCTCATACTAACTTTTAAGTTAGTATGAGAGAATAAAGCCTTCTAAGTTAGTATGAGAAGATAAAGCCAACATTTGCTTTGGTGCTTTGGATGTACAGAACTGTGTACTATCGGCTCAGGCCTCATTATCAGTATGTGACCGCTGGCAAAGCCTGACACAAAGTTAGCTCTCTAACTTTTTCTACTGTCCCCTCCCTGTTGGCCAGGGGCCCCGGGGCTCCCAGAGCCGATAAGAAGACTTGTTGTCTGGACGCCTGCCTATTTTGGGCCTTCTCCCCTGAGTTGTTAATTCAGTTAGTTCACTGTTGCTGTGCCACCAGACTAATTTTAATGCCAGTTGTTTGTGTTTATTGGTTTAATTTTTCTTTTTTTCTCCTC